AGTACTAACTATGCTACCCAATTTATCTTATAAGTAAATAAGCTTACCTTATGAGTTTTTCCTAATTTTGAAACTTTTTTAAAAGCATAGCCTTGATCTTCAGTATTCATAGCACTACATGTTCTATCAAATAGGGATGATGTAATATGACTTTTGAGGAAAGACACCAGATTGAAATATTATTTTCCCTGGGTTTTCATTGAATCTCGCCATTTGGTGAGGAGAACATTCTATTTGTCTCAGATTAGTGGACTGATGTAGAAAACAATTTTTATAGAAAATTGTTTCCTATTAATTATAAGACTATGAATCTTGAAAAATCCTAATCAGAGGGCAGTCATTTTTATCTGCCTTGTTCACTGATATATCTAGCCACTTAGAACAGTGCCTTTGTGGGTGTTTAATAAATATTTAATGAGCAGGACATAACGGTTCATATGTGTAATTCCAGCACTTTAGGAGGTCAAGGCAGGAGAATCACTTGAGCCCAGGAGTTTCAGACCAGCCTGAGCAACAGAGTGAGACCCCATCTCTACATTTTTTTTTTTTTTTTGAGACGGAGTCTCACCCTGTCACCCAGACTTGGAATGCAATGGCGTTGTCTTGGCTCACTGCAACCACTGCCTCCCAGGTTCAAGCAATTCTCCTGCCTCAGCCTCCCAAGTATCTGGGACTACAGGCATGTGCCACCACACCTGGCTGATTTTTTGAATTTTTTACTAGAGACGGGGTTTCACTATGTTGGCCAGGATGGTCTTGAACTCCTGACCTCATGATCTGCCCATGGCGTGAGTCACCATGCCCGGCCAGTAATTTTTTTTTTCTAATACCCAGGTGTGAACTCCTGACCTCATGATCTGCCCGTGGCGTGCGTCACCATGCCCGGCCTACAATTTTTTTTTTTTTAATACCCAGGTGTGGTGTTGTGTACCACACCTGTAGTCCCAGCTACTCAGGAGGCTGAGGTGGGAGGATTACTTGAGCCTGGGAGGTTGAGGCTGCAGGGAGCCATGATCATGGCACTGCACTCCAGCATGGACAATGGAGCAAGACTCTGTTAATCAATCAATCCTATCTATCTATCTATCTATCTATATGTTTTGTTCATTCAAACATATATATATGTTGTTTTGGAATGAACAAATTTCTACCATACTTTCTCATTGATAAGTGCAGCTTTTTTATTCTCCTAATTGACCTTTAATCTGACACAACAAAGAGCACTGTTGTGTTTTGGGGTATTTAATCTTTAAGTTTTTCTTTTTCTCTATGAAGCATGGTAATAATTTTCTTCAGCACCTTGATGAAAATGGTTTGTGCCTTAGGAACATATGCCTTTATCCCTACTCCCTGCCTCACCCACACACACTTCAAATATTTATAGCTATCTACATTATACTAATCTTTGTATTTAAATGTAATACTAAAAATAAGTAACACAGAATCATGGGTCCCTTATTTTCAAAGGGACTTTAGAAATCACCTGGTTTAACTCTCTCATTTTAAGTTTGAGAAAACTAAAGCCCTGAAAGATGATTAGCTCAGGGACACTGCTAATTAATACAGGTACCGAAACTAAAACCCAGGTATTTGACTCCCAGTCAAATGTTATTTCCACACATGTTACAAATAATCCTTTCTGGGGAAGGCTTTTTTCCAGTTAAAACACTGATTCACCATCATGATACCTTCAGACAAGTATTCGTTACTCAAACTTAAAAAAAAAAAAAGGAAAAAGAATGTTGCCCCAAACATAAAGAGTAAACACATTTTAAGAGCCAAAGACTCTTTTCTGCCTATTTTTTTGTTTTGTTTTGTTTTGTTTTGAGAAAGAGTCTTGCTCTATCACCCAGGCTCAAGTGCAGTGGTGTGATCTTGGGTCACTGCAACCTCTGCCTCCTGGGTTCAAGCAATTCTCCTCCCTCAGCCTCCCAAGTAGCTGGGATTACAGGCACGTGCCACCAAGCCCAGCTAATTTTTTGTATTTTTAGTAGAGATAGGGTTTCATCATGTTGGCCAGGCTGGTCTCAAACTCCTGGCCTCAAGTTATCTGCCCACCTTGGCCTCCCAAAGTGCTGGGATTACAGGCATGAGCCACCTCGCCCAGCCCAAAGACTCTTGAAGAACCTGTTCTTCTCAGATTGCTAAAGCAGGGAATACTGACATGTCTGTCAATAGATATAATTTATATTAGCATAATCTCTTAGACAGATTAGCATTTTACCATAAAATAATTAAAATTGGGGTTAACATTTTGAATTTCATTTGAAAGCAAATTGACTTCTGAATAGTGAAGTACAGATATTAGTGCAGATTATTCTCAGTTGCTAGTATGCAGACTCTTTTGGATTCTGTTGCTGTGTCTATACAAGCTAATTCACTAGGCAGTTGAGGACTTAGGCGGTTATCTAGATAACTTAAGGTAAGGATCAATCTGAATACTAAGCTGTATGTTATAATAGCACTAATTTTATATTAAAAATACTTTAACCATAGTAATCTTATATTTCAGGTAAAAGTAGTAGTTTTTAGCTATATTAACTGATTGTTTTGTCTTCTAGTGCTTTAATTGTGTAAAGATTAGAGTTTATAAGCGGTTTTCTATTTCTGTTTTCTTTTTTTTTTTTGGCCTCCAAAAAAACATACAAATTTGAACTTCTTAAAGGAGGACATATAAGAGCAATAAATTGACTGAAAACAGAATCTGTCTTTTTCTCTCGATCTCATTTTGTAGTAACCTGCAGGTTCCCAGCTAGCACATACACTGACTCTTCCTCACAGCAGCTCCTTCATAGGGCCTCAGTCAGGTGGGAAGGTATAGACAGTTCCATTAACAAACACTCATTCACAATGCCATCCATTTGGGGAAAAAAAATTCTCCTTTCACATATTCCATTAAATAAACACTATATCATCTTCTTACGTTCAGATCAACATGCAAATCTCAAGTGTTCTATTTCAAGTGAGGCACTTCTAAATATCTCAACATTTGGTATTTAGTAATATTTTTCACATAATTTTACCTTGTATTCTACTTCAGAGCGGTTGTATTACAGACAAAAATTATTAGCAACCTATTTTTATGTCTCCATGTTTCAAAAACTAAATTGATACTATATTTTGAATTAATGACTATGTCATAAAACCTCATTTTGTAAAAGAAAGAGCCATTACAAAACCAATGACACAATATTTATTAAATTTTTTAAAGGAGTCCAGAATTAAAAAGACAGCTTCATAGGTGAAATTAGGTGATTTATAAAGGAAAGGGAAAATAACAGAGAGTGTGTGAATATTAAAATAAGCTTCTAGTTGACAGTACATAACTAACTTACCAGTTTATGGTACAGTTTAAAATGATAGAGACAACTTTAATCAAATATGTGAAAACTAAACATTTTAAAAATCAACTTTGTTAAAATTGGAAAATCTACTTAAGTTTTATCAGGTGGAGGTGACAGTACTACCTGAATAATCTGTTTCTGTCCATATAAAATGAACTGCTGGGAGCACATTTACATATAAGAACACAGTGAGCGAAAAGCAAAATTGCTCGCTTAATTGTGAAGTTCCTTTTGTTGGTTTGTCAGACTCCACAAAAGATACAATAGGAAAAATCTATACAGCATTAATTAGGATTTTATTTTTTAGAGGCTCCTTTTAAAACAGCTCTGGAAAACATGAGTAGCCATGTCCTCCAACCCTAATTTCTAAAAATATTTGTAGAAAATACATTCTACATGTAGGATTTAATTCTGTAATGCACTATAAATGTGATTTCCCCAAATCTTTGTCTACTTGCTATATATTCTTAATTCATATTAATTCATTCTTAATATCTTAATAACACTCAACCCTTTAGATTTGATATTTGCTTATATTACATGTAAGGAACATCTTACATTTAAGTAATTATATGTTGAGACATAATTAAAATTATAATCTTTCTGTTGTTTCTAGAAAAATAAATCAAATTTTAAATAATTTAATAAACTTATAAAATTTTGGTGCCTAAGTCTGGATGATCAAAATGGTCTCTTTTTACCTAAACATTTCACTACAATGTTGCTTTTAGGGTACTTTTCAGACAATTTCCAGACTGACAGATTCAGTACATCTTAGGAGCCTCTGACTCATCCAGCAACATAAATTAACTTGACTTTTAATATAAGACCATTTTTTTTCTTGTGTTAAAAATATACACTTCATAATCAACTAGGGTCAAAATATGCAAAGAAATTTCAACTTTAAAATTTGTAGCCAATTTTTTTTTTTTTTTTAAGAAATGAAATCTTACTGTGTTGCCCAGCCTGGAGTGCAGTGGCTATTTACAGGCATGCTCATCATGCACCACAGTCTCTTAACTGTTGAGCTCAAGCAGTCCTTTGGCCTCAGCCTCCTCAGTAGGTGGGACTGTGGGTGTGTGCTACCACACCCATAGAGTCCATTTTGAACTATAAGAAACCCATGATGAGGAAAAGCCAAAGCTTTTTTGACTACAGATGACCCTTGGAAAAGAAATTTATTTATCATTTTAAACAAAGATATAAAAGATGAAATTTGACAATTTTAAAATTATTAAAGGAATTGATAACGAAACCAAACAATTCAATCAGAAGTATCTATTTAGAACCTAATAACATAGGCAGTAAGCTGCATCCAGAGGTCCTTTTCAAGATTAAATTACCTGCTGCTTAACCTTATATTTTGCCACTAGATATTATTGCCTTAATAATTCACATTTTTAAAAGATGTTGCTACAGTTACTTTAGGCAGCTTTTATGTTTTTACATTTTCTTTGGAAAATTTTCTAGATAATCTGCAAAATAAATAATGGGATGGTAATTTTTCTTAAAAGTATTTATTATACTGAAAGCAGCCCAGAGTACATTGATTTGTGATTTGATTAATTCTAAAATTTTTAAGTAGTTTATTTTCAGATCTGTATTTTACATTGTACTGTTTTTTGTTTTGTTTATTTGTTTGTTTTACTTCAATAGCCTTTTATGTCACCTCGGTACCCTGGAGGTCCAAGGCCCCCATTGAGGATACCTAATCAGGTAAGATTTATGTGCTATTTAAGTTTTTTGTAAGAATCAAAGATCTTGAAAATGTCACATATGTTTATCATCCTATAAAAATACAAAATTTTCCTTTTTCTGTCCCATTTAATGCTATTTCTAGTCATATATCATCTGCTTCAAGGGTTGGCAAACTACAGCTCATAAGCTAGCTATTTTTTGTAAATAAAGTTTTACTGGAAAACATCCACACAGATCCATTTATGTATTGTCTGTGACTACTTTTACACTACAATACAGATTTAAGTGGTCATGGCAGAGACCATATGTAGCCGGCAACCCTAAAATATTTACTATTTGGATCTTTACAGAAAAATGTTTGCCCATTCTTGGAGTCTACCTTACACTTTGAACCTAATTTTAAAAACTTGTACAATTTTGGTAAATGCTGATTATCCTCCCATTTAAAGAATGGCAATAAAATTTTCCATGAACATACTTTTGTTTACTTTCATATAATATAGTTTCAATATCATGACTCTAGCATTCATATAAATTTTACCCAATTATAATGGCAGATTAAGCAAATAGCTGCTTCTGGAAGAGATAGATCTGTTAATAAATAAATATTTAACAATAAAAATCTTCCAACATTTTAATCTACAAGAGCTCTAAAATTTCATAATGTTTTGTTCTCAAATAGCTTTTTTTTTAAAATATCATAAGTATTTACTTACTGAAGAGAATAAAATACAATTTTTACTCACAAAGAGTTTGTAGTTTAGTTTTAGGATATAGGCATTGTGCATGTATATAACCCGAGAAGAAATTAAATGCTTAACACTATGGAATACTTGTGTCAAGATAATTGTCTTGTCACTTTCTCTGATTCTGTTATTTGTATACCTAGCTTTATCCTATGTTTAAAGTAAACCCTGTTATTACAGTAAGTTCTCTTTTTCATTCATATTCTGTTTCCATTTCCACTTTCTTCCCTACCAAAAATGGAACAAGAAAGTTAAAATTACTAATTTGCTTGACGGCAGCAGAATTCTGCTTCTCCTCTCCTAACTCTTACTGAAATCATGCTGTCTTTGAGGTGTCTCAATCTGCTGGTGCTCTCTGCTTGTAGTGCACAGCAGAAAGTGCCAGCACCCAGATTCACCCCCAGGGGAGAACTTTCAGTAGGAAGCAGTGCTGGGTCATCTCATGATGACAGTGCTTGGCAGTCCTCCTCACATTAGCAGCTGGAGCATTTTTCTCCTATAGAGTGAATCTGCATTCAGTACGCTGGGCCAGGGGAAGATGGCATGAAATAGGAAAGGGAAGTGCACAGATGCCAAGTGTTACAACATATGGGAATTTTATTTTCTCTGTGGGTAAACCTGTATATATTGACAGTCAGATCTACTTATATAGGTGCCTGAGTCTTTTAAATTTCTTTTTAAAGAAATGTGCATCTCTTATTGGAGGCTTCATGGCTTTTTAGACATTCCATCCATAGCTTTGTATATTATATAAGTCTAGGAAGTTCCCAAAAATCTGAATTGGGAAAATGTGAAATTGTAGTATAAGTGTGTTATTAGAATTTTCGACCTCATATATTATATATCAATGATGAAAATGTGACAAAATTATTAGAATTGCATTCAAGTGACATTATTGAAATGCCTGCCATATATAATAAAATACTATCCTAGGTTCCATATCCTAGGTTCTGTAGAGACTAACAAAATAAACACTTTCAGGATGAGGTTGGTGGTGGGACGGTGAAATTGTAAACCAATCTAGGTTGACAAATTTTAAGAACAGGTATTTAATGTCTTTGAGTTTTTAAAAGAGACAATTAAAAAGTTAAAGATAGGCCAGGCGCGGTGGCTCACGCCTGTAATCCCAGCACTTTGGGAAGCCGAGGCAGGTGGATCACGAGGTCAGGAGATAGAGACCATCCTGGCTAACATGGTGAAACCCCGTCTCTACTAAAAATACAAAAAACTAGCCGGGCGAGGTGGTGGGCGCCTGTAGTCCCAGCTACTCGGGAGGCTGAGGCAGGAGAATGGCGTGAACCTGGGAGGCGGAGCTTGCAGTGAGCTGAGATCCGGCCACTGCACTCCAGCCTGGGCGACAGAGCGAGACTCCGTCTCAAAAAAAAAAAAGAAAAAAGTCAAAGATAATAGAAAGTTTTTATATAGGCTCTCTTTCCTCAAGAATTGTAAGCAGTCTTTACCAAAATGTATTTTAAAACAATTGTACTCTTCTTTCAGGGATTCTTTTTGTCCATTCCCACCACCACTCCAATGTACACACGTACATACAGATTTAGTTAAGCTTCATTAATTCAAACAGCTATCATCCAAACTTACAATAATTTATCCTATTTTTTAAAAAAAGAGTTGTGTTAATAATATAAATAATATTGTTTTAGGAAATGTTTAACTTAGTTAGGAACATGAGCTTTTCAAGCATAAAACACGGTTTCTCAATTTTGTTATGTAGTCATTAAGGTAGAATGGGCAAAACTATTTTTGGTGACTAATTGGAATGATGTAGATAAAAACACAAATGTGGCCAGGCATGGTAGCTCACATCTGTAATCCCAGCACTTCAGGAGGCTGAAGCAGGAGAATCACCTGAGCCCAGGAGGTTGCGATCAGCCTGGGCAACATAGGAAGACCTGGTCTCTAAAAAATAAACAAATAATAAAATTTTAAAATCCACAACTGTGTTTATTTTTTCATTTGGTTTTCATGTTAATGGGTCGTAAACTAATGAAATTATGCTTTATTAAGAGTTTGTATCTAAGGAAACAGAAATAGTAACCTCTTCAGTAGTGTTGACTAATCATTTTGAATATGTAAAAGACATCTCTTTAATAAACCGATTTTACTCAACTTGTAATTACTAATGATTAGACTACAGATTTAAATTTGAGTTCCCCTGAAACCATGTCTATAGTTCTGGATTAAATCCATAAGGGTGTATATTCTTTGTACATGTATAGTACCATGTATTGGAATATGGTATAATGTCATTATGTTGTAAAAATATAGAAAGGGGTAATAATGTCTAAAATGATGAAAGGAAAATAAACTTACAAAACTGTGCATTGTAGCAGAGGATAAATATATGTGACAAAACATGAAACATACAAGTTAAATCTACAAAATATATTTGACTATACATTTTACATTGGAATTGGTTCAACTCGCAGAACGGGTCTTTGGTATTGAAGCATCTATAACCTGGAACAGAGCAAGTCTTTATCCTTCTCATGGATAAAATATCCAATCAGAAAAATTCACAGTACTCATTCAACACTATCTTGAGGAATTCAAGACAGCCAGAAATACAGATAATGTTAATCATATGAGTGACACCAAAAATAATTTAACTATTGATCTATTGATCCTATAGGATTTAGAAACTTTATCCTCTGTTTCTTAAGATTCCTGAAACACTGTCAACAGATATATGGAATTAAAAACATTGTTAATTCTGTTGTCCATTTTGTACTCTAAAGTTAAATTTGGTGTTTTAAGAAAAGAACACACTACATCTGACCATTCTACTGAAATCTTCAGATATTTGTCCAATAATAGATGAGTGGTTAAATAAATTATGGTATACTGAAATGATGAAATATTTTGTACATATTAAAAATCATGTTATAGAATTAAATTTATTGAGACGATAAAATGTTGTACCTGTTCAATATGTTAGTGATTAATGATTAAAAGCATAAAGTAGCCTCTTTGGCCAGTTTAGAATACCCCTTTCTATCATTGGGAGCTCCTTATTTTTTGTTTTTAATGATAATTACACTAATATATTTAAATTATTATTTCAAATCCAACAAGGCAAGATTAAAATATATTCTTTTCTTATAACTTTGAATTTTTAGTTTATCCTGGGATATATATCTTTTTCTAGTTATGTTCTACCTTTGTAGGGAAAGAAAATTAACAAATTTATTCTTATCCTTCTCAAACCAAGAAAATTTTGCATAGTGAATCCTATTCAGTCTTACCCAATTTAAGTTACAGCTTTATGGAGGTGTTATGATACAATTAAATTATAGTTTTATGGAGGCTTTTGATACAATGTTCACTTCTTTTGCCAAAACATACCTCATTATCTTATAGTCATTTCATCATAGATATACCCTTTTTGGGTAAGTCTAAATACATAGAATACATTGCCATGTATTTGGATAGAAACTTCACAGGGCTATCCAAAATCACTCTCCAAAATATTGAATCATTCAACAGATACTTGTGGAGGTTTACTGTGTCCCAGGTACCATTCTAGATGTGGGAGATACACTGGTGAACAAACTAATGAAAATCTCTCTTGTGGAACTGACATTCTAATGCGGCACTGCCCAATAGAACTTTCTGGGATGATGGAAATATTTTATACCTGCATTTATCATATGCAGTAATTTTAGTACTTTGAGCACTTGAGATAGGACTGGTGTGAGTGAAGAACTAAATTTTTAATTAAATTAATTTTAATTAAATTTAAATAGCTGCATGTGGTAAAGGGCTATTAATTTGAACAGCACAGTTGCAGTTGTTGAAATATAGAAAAAAGAAAAGTATAAGTGTGTGTGTATATATATACACATATATATATGTCAAATGGTGAGTTGTGTTATAGAGACAAACATCTGCCTACACTAAATTTAATATCTTTTGTGTTAATATTGTTGTTTTAGAGGAATAAAATGACAGTGATGTTGAAAGGACCTAAATGCGTCCAGCATCTTAGGTTCAAAAAGTCAGCAATGTATAACTTTGAACAAGTAGCTTAGACTTTCTGGGTTTTGGTTTTCTTACCTGTAAAATAGGAGTGGATGTGGGTATTTCTAAAGTCTCTTCTAGTTCTGATATTTATTGATTAAATGATTCTCCTCCATTTTATATCATCACGGGCCCATAAAGAATTTGTTACATCAAAATTGTTACTAAATTAAAGCTTAAAGCTTTGAGAAATTCACCATTTTTTCATCATCAGTGAGCATTTAGTCTCCATGAGTA